TGCATTAGATATTCTTCTGAGAGCAAAGATATTTTAGTACATTGCATTAAATGTTGTTTCATTATTATAACTTGTTTCCTATTGCTCAGCTCTAAATCTTCTCTAAGTAATTTTGTTCAAATGATTTATCCTGAGCTGTGGCTTTAAATATTTTTTGCTAGGTCCTTAAATTCCTTTTGTTGGGCCTGGTAATTTAAAAATAAATGCTTGGTCCAGCATGTTTAGGAAGAAATAGAATGGCTTGAAAATCTGGAAATGTAACGTGGCATTGAAAAATGTTTTTTATTTTTCCTCAACATAATTGTCCATTACTGTTTGAGTCAAAATTAAGTGCCTTTTACTATTTTTGTTCATACGTTATAACCTAACAGAATATATCTTTTACGTGTAAAAGTATTACCCCCAAAAATTATTGAAACTTTTAAAGGTGCACTGCCATATGCATATTTGTAAAATGAAAAGCCCCTTATTTGTAGATGCCCATTCTTAACACTAAAATGCCACATGTTGCACTTCAAGAGTAATTAGCAAACATTATCAGGAACATAGGTGTACCAACATATGGTATATTTATATAGGGCAACATATTACGAACAATATGTTGGTATTTTCAAATATTTAAATATGATAGTGCTTGAGTAAAGCATTTATTATATGTGTGTGTATTTATATTTGTATTCATGAAATTAACCATAATTGAGTTTATAGTTGTATCCTCAGTTATATTTGTATGTGTATTTCACATGAATATACAAATATAGAATATATATTATAAATAAATTTATAATTACCTATATGAATGCATATAATATAGTTTTATATTTTTATATTTGAAACTATGTAAATATACCAACAGGCTGATTGTTGTATTTATAAATATAAATATAATTATATATTCAGATGAATATACAAATACAAAATATATATTATAAGTAATTTCATAATTACCGATATTATATGTTCTCATAAAATATATATTCTCATAAAACTATATTATATGCATTCATATAGGTAATTATAAATTTATTTATAATATATATTCTATATTTGTATATTCATGTGAATATATAATTATATTTATAATAATCAATACAACAAACATCCTGTATTCACCTAGTTTGAAGTATAAAAATATAATATGGCCTTAGTCATTGACACAGTTATTTTTTGAAGTATGTAATTCCAACTTAACAATTTTAATATGATGACAATTTTAGGTAATGTTGTTCTTAATTTTTGCAGGGCTCTGGTGTCCCTTTGAAGTTTGTAACACGCCTAGTATAAGTCATATTGCCCAATGTAATATGCCATAGATTCTGGAACCTTTAGAAGGTTGCCAATTATGTACTCCCTCCGTATCAAATTAACTGACCCGCTTTCCTTTTCGGGACGTATCAAATTAAAAGTCCCATTTCTATTTTTAGACATGGACCCCACCACCTTTTAACTTCTCATCATTACATTTTTACATTTTACTTTTTTTCTCCACTTATCCCATTATTCCTCCCCATTAAATCCCCATCCCACCCAACCATAAATCCCTATCCGCCCCACCTTCCCCATTAATTCGGCCATTATCACCCCCCCATTTCTCGAAGCATCCGTCTCTCCCTCTCTCTCTTGTTCAAACCTTCTCTCTGTTTCTCCGGTTTCTCTGGTTTCTCTCTATCTCTCCGTCGGTCTGGGTTATTGCCTCTTTGGTTGTCCATCTGGTTTATCTCGATCGCCCAACCCCTCCTCACAACCCTCCTCTCCATTCCTAATCTGTTGTCTGCCACCTTATTTCTGAGCTACCAATCCATCGCTCCTTTGCATGGATCCGTATGAGTCTGATTCTGAACTGATACTGCTTGATCAAAGGCTTAATGAAGGATGTCCATCACCTCCTTCAGAGAAATCGAAGGAAGGCCCTGTTCTGAGTAATGTCCCCATTCGCCTAGCGGATCCGGTGCCCGTTTCTGATTTGGATTCCCGAAGCACCGATTGTCCAGGCTGGACAACCTCTTCAGAAACTGACCCAGGCTGGCCTCTCCGGAGATTATTCGGGTCCGATTTGGTGGATTCAAGCTCTTCTGGGTTTGGCGACACAGATTCCGGTGAAGAGGAGGTGAACTCGAAGGAAAGGGCTGGTCCATGGGATGAAATTCGTCTGGATATTTCGTAAGGGATGTATTCCTAATCTCTACTTTAATTTGTGATTTGGTTGTGTGTATTCTGTATTCTGTAGTCCTACTCGTGTTTTGCATTATCTAAACCTGGTTATTGTTGATTTACTCCATTTTTATTAACGACATCATTCTAAAATTCTTAAATTACTTCATTCATTGTGACCAAATTGTGGGCTTATACACTGTTACATCAAAAAATAAAGACCTACTCCTCTATGCAAAAATATGGAGTATTTATACATGGCCTTGCAAAAAATTGTTTTAAACCATACTTCAACAACAAAAATCAAAACTGCCAGTGTTTACCCCTTTTATACAGTGGTCCCTTTCTTTATGCATCAACAGTTGCTCCTTCCTCCACTCCTTCTTGGTCCATTGTCCCTTGTTGCAAGTAGTTCATACATTCCCACACTAGTAGTGGGGGAGGAGCCACTGAAACTGGCAGCATGTTAAGCCTTTGTAGTTTCTTCTTGCCTATGTGTACTTGTGAATATGCATTGCCCCCCTTAACCTTCATTACTTCAATCATGCATAACTGTAAGCTTAGAAATACATGATTCAAGGAATGAGGATTGTATGCAATGAATGAATCATTGCAGTTCTGGACCAGTTCAGAAAAATTTGTTGTTGAGCATGTATCCTTTAAAGACTGAATAGCCCGGAATAGGCCCAAATCAAGGATATTCATATCCGGGCTATTTGATGGTTGATTCATTAGTTGAACATCCCTCCCCATCTTGTGAACTGCCAATATGAATTCATTATCATCTCCCTTGATATGTGGAGTTGCATTGTCTTGCTGGATATATATTGTCTTGTCATCATTTGGTGGCCACTTTTCATGAAGTGCAGGTAGTAGTTTGTTGATGATCATGTTTCTATATGCTACTTTGTTCACAACTGGTATCGGTTTTAGTTCTGGTGTGCCCTTAGGTCTGTTTTTGCTATTCCTTTGTGCCTGCACCATTTCAACAAAAGGCCACATCCCTATCTTCCCATCAAAAGTGCATTCACCTTCTGCATTGAACCTAGGCCTAGCAACTGCACATAAGAACATAACTTTCTCAATGAACCTTTTGCTTTTGGCTGTTCTGTGTGGTTCCATTTCACCGGGTACCATATAGTACTTCTGGTTACCTTTGGTTAGATAGAACCATTTCTCATCTATGTGGATAATGTTGAACATTTCATCAAAAACTGGACTTTCTGGCATTGCCTGTACTTTGAGGTGTGATAAGCACCATTGCAGCCTACTGATTTTGTTCTCAGGGGTTAAGAATGGCTTGATTGCATTTGAGTGTGGCTTTATTTCTCCCCTCTTGAGTAATCTTTGTACAGTTGATGCAGGAACACCCATAGCTGTTGCAGAGCTCCTAATTGAACTCCTTTGATGGAATGGAAGTGCTGAAAATGCCGCAATGTCCACTATTTTGGGCTTCCTTCCACACCTTCCCTTTCTGTTGGCGTTATGGTTCACGGGTTCTCCTGCAGCCCTGCATCTTTCTGACACAGTCCATAACCTGAACACTGTTTTGCGAGAGAGACCAAAAGCATTCGCAGCATCTGTGAATCCACCTCGCTTGACCTTTCCTTTGACTGTCCTTTGATTCAGGAAGTCCAGTACAGATGCACGCTCTGCAGGTTTCAGGTTTGGCATCGGTGATCGGATTTCTGCCCTGGAACTGTGGTCAGTGGTCTTGGATGGCTTGGAGATAGCAACCACAACAATTTCTATTGTTGTAGGAAGGCCTCCAAATAGCAACCAGACCTAAACGCCCTCTATGATGACAAAGTTTACCTGTTTAATGGCCGTCAAATGCCCCCCTCGATGATGACAACAAGTCTGAGAGGTTTTTCCTAAGTCTGAGAGGCGCAGGTCATCTACGAATCCACCATTGTTCTTGGCTCCAAACTCGTCACTTTCTCTTCTATTTATAGAAGTGCGAATATTTTGGAACTAATCTGGCTCCAAATCTAAAAAGTTGGCGCCATTATGCTGGCATTTTTTCCATTTACGAATTGCTACAGTGTTTTATTTTTTTGGGTGTGCGAACTGCCAACAGGGCCGAATGTATATGGCCTTTACGCTTTGCTACAGTGCTTAATGTATATGGGGTCCGGTTGTTTATACTCCTTTTGTAAAGTATTCCTCAACTTTTAATCATCTACAGTGTTTCTTACTTTATTCTTACTTTATCTACAGTACACCTACAATTTTTCTTAAACTACTACAAAAGCCTAGTGGGTCAATTAATTTGATACGGAGGGAGTATTTGTTTTATTTGGTCTGTAATAATTAATTAGTTGAAATTAGGAAGTGCAGGTCATCTTTCCCATTGAAGTTTATACTCAGGTATGAAAAATCCATCTTTATTCCTTTTCAGTTCATTCTTTAATTATGCATTATCTGCCAGGACTTTTACCTGGTACTTGTCATTGCTATTTTGACATTACTTTCTTCAAATCTAAATCTCCATCCATAGGATTCTAACTTCACATTGCCATCACTGAGTAGAGGCTTTTGTTTGTAAAAGTCTTAGGGCAAACATCAATGCAATACATAAATAATAGGAAACTCGAATTCATATTCTTATAGAAATCAGCATGCTGTTTTCGGATTACATCTCATGGTTTCATGTTTTGTCAAGTGTTTATAATCCCCTAAGTCCCTAACATGATACTTGCATATTACATTTGAAAAGAACTCATTTTTCTAAAGGACACTTCAGTTTCTTCCTGCATATTACACTTCAGTGTCTACACTTCAGTTGATAGGGTCACTTGAGATTCTTCCATTCTCTTCATGTAATTGTACCAAATACTTTGGAAAATAGGTCACCTGCAAAAAAATTGATATAACATATAGAAAGATATGCATAACGTAGCAGCAAATTAGGATGGTCCACAGTCCACACATCCGAATCAATACAACCAAGGTAAAGGTTCCAATGGAGATGACTCCATTGAGTTAATGTTTAGGCAAAAAGAAGTCAAAGTAAATGTTTTTCACTTTCGTGAATACTTTTAGCAAAACATAAAGTCTTCAATTCCTAGCCTCAAAAGACATAATCATAATCTGCGCCTCTATTCTGGCTCCTTCTTAATTTTGGTCTTCAACTTTTTGCCATTAGTAGAAAACTGCCCCATCAAGTTCCTTTTCAGAGTCTCCTCTTCTTGTAATCTCATGCTTTTACGTTTAGTTTGTGTCGGTGTGACCCCATCCTCCACTTCCTGGATAAAAAAGAAACACTAAACAATTAGCTTCTCACAAAACTCTAGGGAAAGAGATTCATAGACCATAACCAATATACCTTATCTAGGTCAACAATGTCAACTGATTTCTTTTGGGGTATGGTTCCCTCCAAGTTGTCTGCTGTGGAGCCGCTCTGTTTAATATGTTTAATTAATTATTCATAAATAAAAGTAAATTATAAGTTCAAAACATTCTTTTCCCAGTAGTTTTCACTATTTGATAAAACCATGTACCTTCTCCATGTCAGAAATTTCTTCAAGCCCCTTCCCATTCTCATTTGGATTTTCATACACTTTCAAGACTTCGTCATCCCTAATCATTGTGATCACACCATAGGAGATAGGCCCTTTGTAAGAACTACTCTCAGCCTTGTTTTTTAGCTGGACTTTAAACAGTCCTCTTTTTTCTATAATAGATTCAATGTCTTCAGGAAAATGCATTGGGTCTCCAGTCCTCTAAAAATATTTGTAAAAGTAATTAGTTCTTTAATATGTTCTTTATCAAAATGTTAATATTTAATAAGAAAGTTCAGAATGTTTATACCAGCTCAACTTCGTTCCTCAGGTCCGCTGCTGTTTTGCCCAGCATGTCTAGACATTCCCTGTCCCATAGTGTGAATGATGAATGACCGGAATCATCCATCACGCACACTGTAACTTTGTACCTTTAATAACGTTAATATAGGTTAGTGTTTTTATAATAACTTTGTAAGAAACATTTCTTTTAAGGTAGTTATACCTAAGGATTCCGTCTGGAAGTGTTAAGTTGCAATTTAGACACACAAATCTTTCGTCATCTGCTTGCAGTTTTTTGTTGCAAGTGTTGCAACTCAAGTAACACCATTCTCTAAAGTTTTCAATTGAGACCACATCCCCAAGTATCCAGTACACTCCTTCCTGCAAATTTAAAACCCTGAATGCAGTTTTCTGACTAAATAAAATAGTTGATAAGGTTCTTTCAATATCTACCTCAGTTTTCTTAACCAAATCAGCAATGGTTGTGATAGACAAATTTCCTCCAAGAATATATTCACGACTTTCAACTTGAGAATTAGCTGTGAAAGTAGTCAAAGTGCCGTTGTCCCTCTCTTCCGCTGGGAATCTGTTACATGGATATTTAATTCAATCCTTCCCTAAATATACAATTAGTATTCAAAATGAGTATATTTGGTATATACAGAATGCTTACTGTCCCATGAAGTCCACCAGCTCACTTGTGTTTCCGTTGATTATTAGTTTGCTAGCGTCATATGATGTACCAACTGATATGGTGCCTGAAAGTGCAAAGTGCGTTAGTATAGCATCATATACACATTGTTTGCTGATAGTTTGATGAAACCGTTTTTACCTTTGTACCGCCTTGCCCTGCACATCTGGACAATCACAAAAATTCCCTCCTCTTTGTGATTTTCGTAGTAGTTCAGAAAGTTATCAATGTAGCTGTTCCATAGTGTACATCCCAGCCGGTTTCCTCTGTAACAATTTGGTTACCCGTTAGTTATATTAGTGGCTGTGGTCAACATATTTGTAATGACCAGTTTCTAAATGTTTTCTCTGTTCTCATGTTTTAAACTTACTCCGCGTCTTCAAGGGCGAGCTCCATCAGCCTCTCTCCCCGGCCATTGATAATAAGGTTTTGAGCTGTACATTTGCCAGCCACCTTTCCAATCACATCTGCACCATGAAAACCATAAATATAAATGTTTTTCTTTAATATAATATTAAATTGAATAAAGTAATTAAAATAAATTACCAATTAGTTGTTTATCATCAACAACCCTCAAGGTTTGTAGAACCTCAAATGGTTGAAAGTCAAACACAGTGTTTGGCACAATATCTGGATTAATATCCTTGATTATTGTTTTGCCATAAAATTCAATCAAATAGGCATGGTTTGTGGCTTTGTAAGTGTAGTAGTTATCCATCACCAAGAAATCCCTAATTGCATAAACCCCGTTTTCTACAATCTTGGACCTAAACATCCGTAGCTGAGGCCTCTTTATCAGACCGTGGATTTTGTCTCCCTGCATGATCAGTTTGTGTTAAAAATAAATTGAACTATCTTCCCAATGATAAAAGTTTTAAACTCTATCCTCAAGAGTGATTAAAAACTACCTGAGAGTCTATGAAAACCAACTCCATCCTCTGTCCTCCCCTGGACTGAGGTGGCATTTCGTAAGCTCTCACCACCTTCACTCTGACTGCCCAAGTAGTCTTGGTGTGATCAACATCTCTGAGAAATGAATATTGTCCCTGGTTTGCTGCCATTGGAATTGGAATTTGTTCTGAGAGTGGATTCTGCTGTGTTGATGGAAATCGAACTGAGCCAAGTAGCGTATTTATACTGGATTAGTTGCAAACAGTGTTGTAGCCTTTACATTGTTTAATAACCCGATTGTTTGAATTTGAAATCTGAAATCTGAAATCAGATCTCATAGCTTGTAAGCATTAATTGCCAATGTACTTTACATATATTATTTAATAGTTTGGTTGGCTCAAGAAGATATGAAAGTACATTTCAATAAATGCAAATCTTCATTTTAAAATTGTAATGTGCACAATTCGAGCACCAATTTCAATCTGGTCGATGGCTTTAAAAATTGTGGGCTGCTTTTGCATTTAATGTTCAAAAAGATTTGAAAAGACACCATGTAACCACATTAAATGATATCCCACGCGTTTGATATTTGGCTGGATGGTTGGCTTGTTGTGTCAGACCCGTTTTTGACCCGGATCCGAATTGCTAACCCTGTCATTTGGGCGGGAATTCTGGCTGCCTTGCCACAACGGTTTGTATATAGGAAGATTGAACTCGAAGACCTCTTCCTAGTAGCACACTCTTCCCGTCAGCTGAGCTACTACGTTACGCCACGTCATATATGTATGGTTATGTACATGTTCATAGATGAGAGGGACGAAGGTAGGAAGGCGGGAGGGTAGGAAGATGCATGCATGAATGAATGTATCCCAAACTTCAAATGAAAGACAGTCAGTATCTTTACATGGTCTGACTTGACAGTGTGTAGCCGGACAACATAATATGGTTAATTAGGCCGAACCAGATATATATGTTAAACTTTATGGTTATATAATACCGAATTTATTTGAAACGAAAGTTCGTCAAACCTTCAGTTCATATATATTGTTTAGCTTGCTTTTTGAATTATTATTATTGAGCTATATACATTTAAGTTTAATTTTGAATAACCAGATAAGTTTAAGATAATAATTTCTAAGATAAGTTTAGATCAGAATCGTGTACATCAATATTAGCCGTACCTTTAATTTGATGAAATAACCTATGAATAATCTTCAACGTTAAGATTCTTTTTCTAGTATCTTAATTAATAAATATATCCGTATTAATGATTTTTCTATTGGAAAATAAACTTTTTTAAGGAAATTTTGATGCTCATTACGTCTTCTCCAATATATTCTTTTTCCGGAAAATGAATATGATGATTACAAGAGTAAATCTGCAAGTGATTAAAGTTGCATGATTAATAACGAGTACAACCAAAAAATCTACGATCCCTAAAACTGAAAATTTCTCTCAAGATTATACATGTGTGGTTTTAGCCTAAAATCTGGTATGAAGTTGGGTATGAGTTGATATATTATCATGCAACCTACAAAGTTCAATGGAATTCACTTTTAAGTGAAATCTACGGGATTTTCTAAGAAAATGAGAAGACCTAAGTTTGTAGAATCTAAGAAGTACACCTAGAATTCTATCAAATTCTGATGAGGCCGAACCTCGAATGAATTTTAGTTACATTACTAAATACCAACACAGAGGATGAACATTAGGACTATAGTGAGCTGAAGCACATGGCGATTTATTTATTTTTCTAAATTTTTAGTATAATTTTCTTCATTTCTCATATTTAGCCTACTATGCTACCATTTAAGTCTAGTATAATTACTCTTTAGTCCAGTCCAATCCAAATTTGTTAATCCACAGTTATAAACTTATAATAACGAATGGAGTAGTACTTAAAATCAAAGTGTAATGGAAGAATACATACATAGAACTACTACATCGACCAAATTTAGAATAAAGTTTAATATGGTTCAGATACATCGACCAAATACGGATTAATAGTTATGTACGGAGTAATTATAGTCTAACCAATCCCGACCCTAATTATTACATTTTCCGACTTGTAATCAATTCGGGTCTAATTCAATTCGGTTTTTCGATTTGCACGTACAGGAATGTGCTCAACCCTAATTATCTCTAATTATAAAAATCTTTCCAACATCACATTTGTTAAAACCTTTTATACGTGATAACTTTATTAATTAGATAGTTTTGTTTCTAGTTTATTCAAATCTTAACACACGATTCCAAAATTAGAACTCAATCACATATATATTGGATCTTTTGAATATTCATTAATTAATCACACATGAATGACAGGTAGCACGTAGTGTTTCTACTTGATTTAGAAAAAGAGGGCATCTTTTCAAAATTTATATTCCTCAAAGAGCAGTTAAGAATCTCAATTATTAGCGTCCGGCGTCAACTAAGATGACACTAATTGATAAAGTAACGTTAAAACGGACATCGTCAAAGTCAAGTTCAAACAAACGTACCATCAGTTTATGCGTCTACCACCGTCCAACCATGCACAAGTCAATAACTATCTACTTAATTTCCTTTGCTATAAATAATTACAACAGTTAAATTTTTAAATTTGTCAATATAATACACTGTTTTAGCTATTATTGTACTTAATTGACTATTAGTAAAAAGATTTAAAAACACATCTCAAGGTTTTACGTTAGGAGAAATTGAGTATGTAAGTTTTGTAGGTGTTTTTATGTAAATCATACATACAAAAATACAATTGCATGTTAAGCGTAATATTAAACGACGATGGTAGCATATTTGTTACATTATTAATGCTTGAGAGGGTAGCGGCTCGTATAAGAACTCATCTTGTGTCAAGCGTCAATGCATTTCATAATTCAATTTCTTTTAATAATGTCTCTCCCATTTGCTAATTTAGTAATGAATAATTAGGATGTTTTTACTTGGACTCTTTTCAGTCCCAGATCAGATCAAATTTAAACAGACCAGACCAGACAACTATAATTATAAAACACACAAAAAGCAGACGTTTACCAGATTAGATCAATTCAGACCAGACCAGACTTACACACACCAGACCAAACCAGCAAATTTGAGTCCAAGTAAAAGCATGCATCCTTAGGATGTTTTTACTTGGACTGTAATTTGCCCCAGACCAGACCAGACCAGACCAGTCCAGACCAGACCAGACCAGTTCAGACCAGACCAGACCAGACCAGACTTGGATAGTTTTAAAAATACAAAGAAACCAGACCTTACCAGACCAGACCAGACCAGTTCAGACCAGACCAGACCAGATCAGACCAGACCAGACCAGACCAGCAAATTACAGTCCAAGTAAAAACATCCTTACTTACAAATCCTCATTTCATCATGTAATTTGAACTTATTTTGAAGGATAGATGTATGTATAATGGTTGTAAGTAAAGAAAGCTTATACTCCGTAGTATGCTAAATGTCGTTAAACTTATCACAATTACGGAGTAATATTTTTAAATATCAAATTCTTATAACGTGTCTTGTTTAACTATGTGTCTTGTTATACGTATTGGTATAACTTATACCAATACGTAAAACCCTTTATTTGTTTAACTATGTGTCTTGTTTTCCTTTTTAAGATTTTCCGAAATGAATTGATATATCCTTTTTCCGAAAGAAACACGGATTCATATAATTTCATTTTACTTCAACATTAATCACAACGTAACTTTTACTTTTCAACCAACACATCAAAGAGAAATGTTCTCGTCTATATGATGGTACTTAATTCTTAAAATGGTCCTTATGTATTCTACTTATGATCTTCAATTATATGTGTTCAAGTTTCTCTTGTAAAAAACTACTCCTATATGAACAATGAAGCATTGAATTGAAGCATACAATAACGATTCCCTATAGTTTATACTACTCTCCCTAATATTTGGCTGTGATTAATTAAAAAGAATCGATCATAGAACTAAGTCATAACAATTTTTCAAAAGTATCTGTTCAATGTTAATGCCAACATCCTTGAACTGGGATGAGATTCGAACCTGTGACATCCTCTTTGGGAGTGTCACAAGGTACTTGGCAAAAAACAATTTTTCAAAAGTAAAACTAATTAAAATGTTTGTCTTTTTTGAAGTACATATTTGGTTGCATACTTGCATGTAGATAATGAAAATCAATCTAAATTTCTACAATAACATCTTTGTAATCATTCAAGATATATATACTTCGTACTAGTAGGGGGGATATGATGTTTTATCTTTAGTCATATATAACTCGTAATCCCTGAAGTTTCTCATAGAATCGTCTATATTATTAATCATTAAAGAATAATATTATACTGATTTTTTTGAATCTTAAACGCACGCGAATCTGCTATGTTCTGCTAAGGGAAAAGGTACATATATACCCCTGTAGTATAGGTGGAGGAACAAATATACCACTGTTCTATTTTTCGGAACAAATATACCCCTGAACTTTTAAAAAGGTGCAAAAATATCCCTCATTTTTTATAAAGGAGCAAAATAATCCTTATTGACTTTAAATTAATCAAATAAATTTCAAAAAAGACCAAAAATAAATTAATAAATCAAATTAAAAAATAAAAATTTTAAAAATGTAATTGTGTCCATTTCTCCCTTTATTGTTTTATATCACAATTTAATATTTTAAGTATAAAGTATTATTTCAAAATATGTAATTTTATAGTGCAAAAAATGCAAAAAAATATTGTTTCTATACATTGCAAAAAATATGTTGCACCTTTTCAAAAGATTTTTAACCATATAGTAAAATTTTGAAATAATATTTCATGCTTAAACAATATTAAATTGTGATATAAAAACTATAAAAGGGAGAATTAGACACTATTACATTTTTAAAACTTTTTGTTTTTAAATTTCGAATTTATAATTTATATTTGGTGTTTTTTGAAATTGATTTTATTAATTTAAAGTCAAGAAGGATTAACTTGCCCCTTTATAAAAACATGAGGGATATTTTTGCACCTTTTTAGAAGTTCAGGGGTATCTTTGTTTCGAAAAATAGAACAGGGGTATATTTGTTCCCACACCCATACTATAGGGGTATATTTGTACCTTTCCCCTTCTGCTAATCATGATTAATTAATTTATTGTATTTTGGACCATTCATTATCTCTCAGCTCCTTTTGGTATCATCTCCAATCCTATAGGCTATAGTCCCATTCCTATCGAATGTCAAAGATACTCCATACTTGTTTCATATTCCCTGTTATCATTTATCAACATTATGTTTTATACGATGTGTGTAAAACCGCCGATTCTCACTCAAGTTCTCATTATTGTATTGAGACTTTAGATACAAAGTTCTAAACAAGAGAATATATACATAGAACTTACTGAAAGATAAATGTAATCAAGACAGGAACTCATAAATTTCGTTGTAAGCTAGGTATGGATTAACTAGATAGAACAAATTAAATCATTCTTAATTAAGTCATTGTTTATTACGGAGTATTGACTTAAAAGTCTAGTCACATTCCACACTAACAAAACCAACGGTCTTGATTCCGGTTGAAAATTAGGACGACATATTTATTACTAAATCCACGACATTGAATTTTGTATTATTACTAGATAGAAATATAAAACACCACATTTTTGAAGAGTAAAGTTGGGTTTTGTTTCACTATTATATTCCTGCCTTGAACATACTAGTGATACTACGTAACTCCTTTCCAAATAGCAATGTAAACAAGTCATTTTCGGGAAAGCAACGCACCTCGGAACACTGTCTCATTGGAATTTAACACTAGGACATCTCTAGTTCTATTTTGGGAAGTTTTATTGTTTTTTTCTTTTGACAAGTCTAAATCCTATCGATCAGTCATGTTTTAGCAAGTAAACATACTTTATCATATTTTGAACTTTGATTTGACCAAAATTTTAATTGTAGAAAACGAGTTTTGGCCCGGAATCTTCTTTTTAAAAGAAAATTAAGTGAAAAATACTTCAAAGGACTAGTCTAGTATCCATTTGAGGCTCGGGGTAAGAATAATCAAGAGATTTAATGCGTATTCATGTGTTACTTCTTCAATAAATTCTTAAGTGAGAGTTCTATTCTTCTAACCTTTCATTCAATTTCATACTTTCACTACCCTAATTATTGTCTCCTACTACCTCCGTAACGTAAATATCTTCCCACTTTCCTTTTTTGGACGTAACATTAATATCTTCCCATTTCTAAATCTTCCCATCATACCCTCAATAATTTTAAAAATAATACACTATTACACCTACTTTTTTTGGATTTATCCTTCATTTCATCACATTATTTCACTATCTTCCCATCATACCCCTAATAATACATATCTACTTTCACTATTCTTAATCTACCTACTTTTCAAATGGGAACATCCCAATGTTACGGAGGTAGTAATATTTTTCTAACATATAGCTAGAGAGTACGTATTATGTTTTATATAGTATTTCAAGATGTCCTTTTTTGACAGTTTTTAATGTATGAGGTCGGCCCTACTTCCTTAGACAAAGTTAGAATAAATTAAATATAGCTAAGGATTGGAAGAATTGGATGTGATTGTTGAGAAAGAAGGATGGTAGGGCATGGAGCTCCCACCCCCACACTCTCACACACATATTTATATATTTATATATAAGTGCACACCCAAATGGTTGTTGATGGAATGCTACAAGTTAAACGTTGGATACATTGGGAGGGACACACAGCCTGTGGTACGTGCATGAACTATTGTGGGGAGGGGCCAATATCTTAAACAAGCCCATGGGAAAAGGTAGGGACATGACCTATCAAGTCCCCCGTTTAGTGTTTACACCTAACTCTTGGATCAATTAATACTCTAATTTTTATTAAAATGTATTTTTGAGCTTTTAATTAGTATTATCAACGCAGTGCGGTTAGCAAGAAAAAGGACTTTATGTGACTAATATTAGATTGATAAAGTGATTATGAGATTGGCCAAATTTAATGGTGTCGAGGAAGTAATTAATATTTTTCATGGTAGAATATTGTACGGAGTAATACATTAATAGACAGAATGTTGTTCGAATCGAATATGTGAAAGGTTAATGTACTAATTAACTAAATATTGTATGTTTAATTATTAATTTCTGTGCCGTTGGGTGTAGCTCTGCTGGTAGATAGAGAGTGCCACCGAGGGACAAGTGTGTGGCTCGAGTCTTGACAGTTGCGATAAGATGTTACAATGTAAAAATGCATAGGACCTCTGCAAGTACATGAATCAAAGTCATACTCGCTATCTGTCAAATAAGTCTGTGATAAAAGTTTTTGTCAAAGAATGAATAAATTTTGTTATTTTAACACCATTTGATACTAATAAGAAGATCGATATGTTCATTAAGACTTCAGACTGTCAAATTCATGGTCAACGATTCGAGTTCATTGTTTGGGGTTGGTCGTCTTTGAGTCTGATGGTAGGACTTTTCATTGAACTTGTTATTTTGTCTCGTTGTCTGTCTCCCAGTTCAACAGTCAATAAGTTGAGATTAACAAATGATGCACAACTAAAAGAGCATGAAAGATGTTTTGAGTAGAAGTTTCAATCTCACATTATATCAAATTTAATGAGGCAAGGTTGGATAAAAATATCCAAATACACATATACAGGACATTAAACAGACTTAAATAAGTAGTGATAGTTTACCATATCAAACTTAAACAAAACAAATAAGAAAACTTCCATCCATGAAAAACATATTAACATATCATCTCTATAGTTGCGGACTTGTAGTTTTATATATGGCAGATTCATAAATTTGAACTCAATTCGGTTGAAAAATGATTATGCTAGTAATGAGGCTAAATTAGAAATGGGATAGTATATCAATAATACATACTCATCATCATCACCTACAATGGGCTAAGAGGGTCGAACGTATTCAGCCTTACCCTTGTACTAAAGTCTAGAGATACCGTTTTTGGATGACCCAAGAAAATAGTTTATCGTAATAACCTTAAAAAATAGTTTATCCACATAATATTTGTAGAATAGTGAATTATTAATTGATAAGATCAATGGAGATGAATGAGAATTATTGGAATCACTCCGTTTATACTTAGTATTCCCTTATACTATGTACTTGCGTCTCAGTTTAAGGTTCCCACTTTTCTCTTTTAAACAACTCAATTTAAGATAAGTTTTATGTTTCCATTTTCGAAATAATAGACTTTTAAATGACAATTTAATAATTAAATATTAAAAATTATACATCTATACAATCATTATTAAACATCTGTACATCTATAATAATTTTTTAATGTTCATGTCATTTTTAATAAGAACCTTAACTTGGGACAGGGGTACTAAAAAGTCTAGGCTAATACTATGATTCTATAAAAATAGAAATATAATACTTCGTACTATCTAGTACCTATCATGAATTTGATACCTATTGCCATCTATAGCGACTCAAAAATGCTATCATATCGTTTCATAGTGTTTTGTGCATGAAATGCTATGTCAGGACATGATATAGTAGATCTAAAGCTTCATATAGCATTTTTGCAAACGCTATGAAACATAAATCAACAATAGTGTTTCAAACCGCTATAGAAGATGTGCCACTTATAATAGTTCACATACTTTACATAACTTTAACAAACGCTATCTAAAATATACCCAACATGGTAACACATATACATAATGTTTACAAATTTAACTGAACATTTCTAAAACACTATCAAGTATCAAAGTAATATTAATCATAGTGTTTCGAAGCAATCACTGTGCTAAAAAAGACTGGATAGCCTCCAATACCGACAAACATAATTAAAAGAAAACACTATTTAAATGTAATTGATACAAAACTAGTTGTGAGATCTAGATAATCCACCATTGCTCTCATAGTACGTGAGCATAAATATCATATACAAAACAACAAAGAGTAACTTCATTAAACTATTATATGGAGTATATGACTTGGGAGGCTTATCATCTTAAATAGTTGAGATATGTGTGGCCCCGAAAGATAAAAAGCACCCAAAAATAGATTTAATCCTTGTGTTTCTTAACACTGCAGTTAGAAAACAAGCAGTAAAAAAATCGCAACTATAAATTTATAAAAGTAGAATGATATTCGTGTAATTTCCGATTGTATGTTTGTATTTTTAACGAGTTTTTATTAGTTCTAGTTGTGGAATCACACACTTTTGGTGTAATATTTTATTTTCATTTTTTGTAATTTGTTTAGATTAGGATTATTCTGAGCTAAACAGGCCAAAGATCATCCAAGGGATCAAGATTGGACCTTAAAAGATCAAGGAAAGTGGAAGGAATGTGCAAAAATCTCAAGACAAAATGAAGATCCTGATTTTTGTGTTGTACTCGGTCGAGTATGACCTATACCCGATCGAGTACCTTGCTGAAAAATCAAATCGGATCACACCCGAAGACAATTCAACATGCAGGGAAGATTTTGACCACGTTCGGGTGTCATACCCGATCGGGTGACCAACAGACCCGATCGGGTATGCCTTATTTTTCTGGTTTCCAGGAAGCTTAGAAGGTACCCGATCGAGTGGCCTAAAAGCCCGATCGGGTACACATCCCTGCATGCTCCAAACACCTATAAATACACATCATTTCCTTCACAATAAAATCACCAATTCACATATACTTTTTAGCTCAGTTTAGATTAGTGTTTTCTTTATATTTCCTATCATGTTTAGTCTCCAAATGAGGAGCTAAACTCTTCCATCTTGGTTTTGCTACTTTGAAGCTTAATGAATTTGTAAGTTGTGAGTTATTCTCTTTAATTTTCTTCCTTGAATATTAATTCTTCCTTTAAATACTATTTCTATATCAATGTTGGGGAGTGTTACTAAGATGACAATTAGTTAACATCTTGACATTAGTTATAGTAATAGTTATTTCTTCCTCTATGTTAATATTGGGGAGTGTTCCTAAGATGACAATTAGTTAACATCTTGATATTAACTTTAGTAGGATTCCTCTTCTTTAATATTCTTCCTTGAGTATTAATTAATTCCTATTCATATTTCATATTAATATTTTGAACATTAGTTAAAGGATCAACTAGTTTTGTTTCATATATTAATTATAACTAGAATCGGTTGATTAATACGCTTGTTATTAATTCGGCCCTTTCTCGGTAGTAAACTTGGGTTATTAATGCATGCGTTTCATGGTTAATAAACCAAGGGGAATTAATTATGTTGATTCAACCAATAAACCGCTTGTGTTGAGGTTATCAATCTCAATCGTTTTCATCTTGATTTTATTGCTCCTATCGGGTTAATATACAGCGCGTGTTCTATATTAACTCGGTAGTAAGTTTTATTAATGAACGCGTCTCGTTATTAATAACTACCCTCGATGAACTGGATATACTCCTCGATTGAGTATTCGAGAGGAAGATAGTTAAAGATATAACCGGGATCGACGAACATTTCATTAAGTGGATAAAAGCAAAACCAAGTCTTCATCTCTATTAAGTAAATCACATAAGTCATTCATCTTAGTGTTAATTAATTAAAATCAAACAAAACTAAAATCACCCCTTTGTTACTAGTTTTAATATAAAAGAAAAATATTCATTTCCCTGTGGATACGAACCTTACTTCAATATACTACGTATAAGTGTTGCATTGTATTATTATTTTGAGTGCACATCACGACAAAGTGCACGTCATAGAACAAAACAAGCATAAAAAACAATACGAAGTATGATAAAACCATGACAGAAAAAGTAGATACCAACCTTCAAAAAATAAATTTAAAAAGTCCCATATATCTTTTCATGAAATGCCATAATGAAAAGGTAGAGCTGTAGAGGTCATAGAGCTTTCCAACTCAAATTTTAAACACGTTTTGATTTCGGCACTTCATTTTTCATTGTTCAAACATTAGAGCAAAGGTGTAAATTAAAGGCGGGTCTTCTAAGTTGATTTCGATAACAAGCCTATACAATTGGTTTTACAATGGTTTTCTAATACAAAGATTATCCCAAACACACGAGCACATACTCTGAAAAACATTAGTAGGATTATATTTTTGCACACTTTACGACTCTAATTTTAATATCATTGTTCACCTTGCAAGTTGCAAGGGGTCTAACACAAGTCTAAAATACTCAATAATGACCAAGGAGAATCTTTTGAGGTTGGTCATTTACAATTGAAACATAAAATGATTGTATTAATAATTAATAAACATCTAATGACCTACTGTTACCTCATAGAGAACTACACTTGTTAGGCAAGGGGTAAATAAGGACTGAAAAAAGAGTGTAGGTATTGATGTAGTTTAAGTTTATTAGATTATAGAACTTACCTTTAATGTGGTAGTTAAAAACACTGACTCACTATCTCAACACTTAAAGATACTGCACATAAAAATCTTTTAAATGAATCAGCTCAAGCTTAAGTTAATAAGAAGAATAAAGAAACATGTATATTGAAAAAGAAGTAGTACTTACTATTTTAATTAAATTGTTGGACTTTGACCAAAAAGTTAAAGGGGAAATTGTATCTCAATTTTGGAAAATGTCTTAAGTCACTCCTCTTTTTAAGCAATTGATTTATAATGAATGTAACAATCTCTTACAAGGCTTCCCCTGATCACAGGAAGATGGACAATTCATGGGCAGGGGGTGGAGGAAGACACAATGTCACCTAAATATTCAAATAGAAAAGGCATCAAACGTGCAATGTCTGTGTTGCTCTTCATGTTGGCCTTAACAGAAAGGGCAAGATTGCATTTCTGGGTCCAGCAGTTTTATATAAGGCTCAAGATTAGGCAGAAAGAGCAGTTGAACCATACTAGGTCCAAGGGCATTTAGCCCTTGTACTGCACCATAACGCTAAGGCAGTGCCTTCATTGGATCTAGAAATGCATGCAGCAAAGTCCCTGTGAACGCGGGGCTAGAAAGTCTGGTACACTTCACCATACCTTTTACTTACCAAAGTAACCAACTTGGTAGTAAAGTCTATAAGCAAGTGGTTGTCTGAAAGTTTATTTCCCAGTCTCTTTGCAACAAGGCAAGTATTTCTAAGTCACTCTTATATGGTCTATAACTTTTTATAAGGAAAGCTTGTCATGCACTGATTGAAACTTTTATGGTATTTCATACTCCCTCCGTCCCCTTATTAAATTCTTAGTTTGACTAGCACACAGTTTTATGAAAATTTAATAAAGTAGTTGACTTTCCTAAACTACCCCCCACTCCCTCGTGCTGCACAAAAAAAACGAATACAAGAAAAGCAAGGAGGAAATCTGTATTGAGATAAAACATGAGATCATGGGATAAAAAAAGGGGGGTAAAAGTACATTTGAGTTGATGGTTCTACAGTACAAGGCAAATCCAATTTCAGGGCATAATCCCTATGCGTACAGACTCCCAAAAGTCCCTCCAAATTTTTGGAGGGCTCTATACAAATCTGGGAATGAAATTTTAAATTTCCCCCCAAACCCAAAACTTTACACTTTAAAAGATTACAACAACCCAAACCCTATCATTTACTACCCCAATGGAGCTTTCTGAGTCTCTCTCTCTAGAACCTGAAGCTGCCTTAAATGGAACTGCAGGAGGAACAACTGCTATAAATGGCCATGGAGGTACTCCTTTCTCAACAAGCAACGCAGGTGGCAGTCCAGTTGTACCTGAAACACACAATAGTGAAGGCAGTCAAGGTTCAACAAAGAAAAGGCCAAAATTAACTAATGCACAAAAAAGTTGTCTGGTAGAAAAGCTTTTAGCTAACTTCAACAATAGAAAACTTCAGAGGGGCATTGTAAAAGATACAGCCGAAGAATTCAACTGTTCTACGCATACGGTTAACATTCTGTGGTCTAAAGCAAAAAGACAACTGAGTGATGGGGTGCCTATAAATGTTAAAGGCCAATGGAAGGGTAATGTGGGCAGAAAAAGAGTTGCTTTTGACCCAGAAAGGTTGAAGGATATTCCATTGCATAAAAGAAAGAACATCAGGTCACTGGGATTTGCCCTGCAGATGTCTAAGTCTGCAGTGCACAGGTTAGTCAAAGACAAGCAAATAAAGAGGCATTCCAGTGCCATCAAGCCCCTACTTTCACATGATGGAAAGGTGAGAAGGTTAAAATTCTGTCTATCTCATATTGTGCCTAGGCCTTTCCCACAAAAGTTCACTTTTCATCATTTCTTTGACCACATTCACATTGATGAAAAGTGGTTCTTTTTATCTAAAGAAACCACAACATACTACACTCATCCAGAATAGGTGGACCCCTACAGAGCTGTTCAATCCAAAAAATTTATACCCAAAATAATGTTTTTAGCAGCTGTAGGTAGGCCTAGATTTGGGGAGGATGGGGCAGTGCTATGGGATGGAAAGATTGGTATCTTTCCATTCACTTATGAGGAAAAAGCTAAGAGATGTAGTAAGAACAGACCCGCAGGCACAATGGAGACCAAACCCACATTAAGTGTAACTAGGAATGTGATTAAGGAGTTGGTCCTACAGAAAGTACTCCCAGCAATCAGACAAAAATGGCCAGATGCACAAAACAGAAACACCATCATTCAACAGGACAATGCAAGGCCACATATAAAACTAAATGATGCAGATTTTGTCACGGCTGCTACTAAAAATGGGTGGAACATAAAACTAAGTTATCAGCCAGCAAACAGCCCAGACCTGAATGTGTTAGACTTGGGTTTTTTTCGTGCAATTGACTCACTGAAGGAACAGAAATGCCCTAAAACAATTGGTGAATTAACTGAAGCTGTCACACGTGCTTATGATGACCTAACAGCTTACAGTTTGAACAAAGTTTTTTTAAGTTTTCAGTGTGTCATGGAGCAAATTCTGATGCACAAAGGTGGAAATAACTATAAGCTCAAGCATATTGGGAAAGACAAGCTCGCCAGAAAGGGGATGCTACCACTCAATATGGAAATCAATCCTGAGTTGGTGGAGGAAGCAAAAGCATCACTTGTACAGATGCTATCAGGGGCAGGAACTGAGGCCGTTTCCACTGAGTTCATAAGTGAAGATCAAGGTGATCTTCAAGAATGAACTTAGATCACAAAGTGAAGTTTTTGTATGTACTCACTGAAGGACAACTTTTTTGTCAGTACTGCCTTATATACATGCCTAGACTACAACTTTATAATGTAGTGGCACAGTAGTAGGTTTTGGAAAATCTTTTGTACACTTAAAGGCAGTCATGTTTGTTTTAAAGTCTAAAGTAACATTCAACCCACACATTATGACTTACATTGGTTACCACAATAGTATGCAAACACCTTTGGCATAGCCTCCTACACTTACTGAAAGTGGGTGGCACATGTTTAAAGGTAGCAAAGCACCCTAGGTTTTAAGACACAAGACCCATCACCAGTTTGGTCCTTAACTTAAGCACAGAAGCATTATCAGCATTATTACAATGAATCAAACAAGCACACAAGCCCCATCATCATTAGTAAGGAGTACTACAAATACCATTACAGAAAATTACATATCTTCCTACACTAAAGCAAAGTGGGAAGCACATGTAGAAAGGCAACAACATTTGCATATTTTACAGAACAGAATCAGATAAGCACATCAAAGCTTTTCATCATTAGAAATCTACAAAAACATAAACTGAGGAATCCAAGAGTCCATTTAAAATTTCTGGAAATTACATAGCTTCCTACACTGAAGCAAAGTGGGAAGCACATGTAAAAAGGCATCTACATTTGCTAACTTCATTGATTTTACATAACCGATAACCAGATAACCACATCAAAGGCCAACATCATTGTAAATAAAAAAAATCATAATATGAGCAATAGATACTTCCCTTATGGAGTGTCCTGAAATATGTCGGCGTAGAGATCTGGGAATAAACAATCAAAGGAGTTCACCTCCTCGCCTTCTTCCACCGATTCAGGAGACTCATCGAAGTGAGAGCCATACCTCCTTCTTCGTTTCCAACCCGGATCCGTTTCCGATGATGTCCACCCGCATGCACCCTCAGATTCGTCGTAGTGGGAGGCATAGATGTGTCTTCCCTTCCAAGCCAGACCCGTTTCCGATTCATTCCACCCGCATGCACCCTCAGACTCATCTTCATCGGCAGTGGTTAGGAGAGGATAGTGTTCGGAAACTTTGACCACGGCTTGGTTGAAATCAGACGGGCTAGGGTTGGACGGATGTGGGTGTACATCGGAAGAGGGATGGGGTTCCATGTTGGAATTAGAAGATGACACGGAGGAAAGGAGAGTTCCATGGTTCGAAAGAGTGATTGATTCCTCTTCCATATGGAGGACGAAAGGATTTGAGGAGAGAAGGCCACCGATTTGAGGAGAGAAGGCCACCGATTTGAAAGCGGATAAGGTGGGAGGTGGGTAAAGTGCGAATCAGAGGGGTCGGTGGAGTAAAGATAAGGGTTGAGGGTTAATTAAATGGGTAGGGCAAATATGGTATTTCAAGTAGTATTTCTTTCCTAATAAGGAAATGAGAAGATGATTTTGGGACGGACCAAAATGGAAAGTAGGAATTTAATAAGGGGACGGAGGGAGTATTAAACTTTTCTAGGCTATGAAAGATAATTGGTGATAATGCATTTCAGTGAAGGAAGAGGCTAGAAATTTTGATTTGGAAAAGTGAATTTTTTTGTTTTCATATTCTAGAGTAAAAAGTTCAAATCGATATATAAAATTTTAATGTTTTGCTGAATACAAAGACGTCTATACTAAATAAAATGGAACAAACATCTAATCCTTGAAAGAAATAATAATCCACAAAATGCTTCTAAACCAAGCTAGAAACAGGGAAATTCCATTTCCTTTCAAACAAGCTTTTAATATAATTAAGAGTAGATTCAAGAAATTGCTACACCCAACTAGAAGATAAATATTTAAACAAGTAAAAATTAGTGGCGGAAAAATAAAATAACATAAAGCTTCTCAATGTGCCACAAAAGTGATGGACGGAATACACAATGATTGATCATACAAAGAGAAATTAGTAAAAGAAACATTCAAATACATATAAATAATACCTGAACTAGCTGTGAAAGAAACTATACTCTGTATGTGATTGTCTACACAAAGTATATTACGGAGTAGAAAAGGTAAAAAATCAAGCTTAAGTTAGACAATACGGAGATTCAGATACACATGACTCTCCTTACATAAGATTAACACATATAGTTACAAGGATGAGACATGGAGAGAGTAGAGCACCTGTATCTGGGTGAATCGGTTATGGCAGCTGATCAAAAGCCAAGCGAGCGATAGTGGAGCACTTGTATCCTGGTGAATCGACTATGGTAGTCGAGAAAAAGTCAAGCGAACGATAATGGAGTATCTCTATCTTGGCGATTCGGCTATGGCGGCCGAGAGAGAAAGCCAAGAGAAAAGATGTGGAAAATATCAGGTCTAAGAATCTAATTGAACTTTGAAATCTAAGGCGCGTTTTATTTAGTATGCCCGCCTATATTTTTCATTCCCCGCTTCTCTCATTAGGATAGCCGGATCGATAACGTTTCCTAATTCAAATAAAACAATAATAATAAAGGGTGATACAATATGTAGCACTTACTATATAAATGCTATGCTTGTATGCTATAAAAAAGAAATATTGTTGTAGTTCTAAAAAAATCATACATTTGAGAGCTTTAAGTTTTTTTTGTGGCAAAAGATAACTTAATTGATATTAAAAATGAGGACTAGATACAAGTTTGTCATAACAAAGGCTACACTGGAGTGAGACTTGGAGCTAGAAACACGCTTAGTAGCGGTCCATCTCGCTTACCCCGGGAAACATAAAAACCATAAAAGAGTTTTGAGACGAAAACAAATTAAAAGAAGAACATAATCCCGTTTTTTCCAGCCACTGGCAAGAAAATAGCGGTTTGACTAGCCTCTGCTAAAGATTCCTCGTGTTTATCCTCCAAATCTTCTGCTACTGGCGGTGCTGCCCGTATAGCACCACCACTTGCAAGTTTTTTGGAGTTCCTTCATCCACTTCCATGCTTGCTTGAGCCCCTCCTCGCCATCCTTTTCATTGACCCTGCGTTTTTGGTGCTTCCTGAGTTGTAACAATCTCATTTCCCTTTGATAGGAGTCCTTCCACCAAATAGCTCTCATGTTTGATCGCTTGTCGTTTTGCCAAAGTTTGTCCCTCATCCCTCATGTCTTCTGGCTTGTTATTTCTAGGGATAAGGCACCCATTGCCCGGATGTGAACCACCTCGCCTCGTATCAGCCCTTAACCATGATCCATAAGGCTTTTCCCCGATCCATGCGCCGCTATGCAAATTAAAGGGACATAAGCGATCATCATGACCATGAATCCTGCATAGAAAACAAAAGTTTGGGAGTCTCTCATAGCGAAAGTTTACCGAAATCCAACTGTCTCCCTCATGTCTGACCTGTAAGCGCCTGATAAAGGCCATAGTAATATTAATAGTGACTCCGATGCGCAGTACCAACCTTTGTTTTCCGTCAACAGAGCTCTCGTCCACTTGTACAAGCGATTCTGTGATGTTTGCTATTCCACGCGCCACCCTTGTCGTCATGTAGCTTAACGGTAAATTGTGAATCTGAACCCAAAAGTCTACATGATACGGTGGAATCTCAACATGTGTGTCGATACGTCCCACACATTTGATGATCACAAGATTTTGCTCAAAAGACCAAGGCCCTTCATCATCAATTGTACTCAAATCTCCTTCATGATAGAATGTAAGCGGGATCTAGAATCCCCAATCTCATCAATTGAAACTCCCTTGACTAGTCGCCAAACCATAGTCATTGTTTGACAGAAAGATACAACCCGAATAGGTTTGTTCGATACCACTCTAGCCACAGCTGCTAGATCCGAACTCTCTTTAGTCTCGTCAGCATTCTCAACCAGATCAGCTGCAAGCACCAAACCCCTATTCTCCTCCGCAGCAATTTATACCATGCTAACATTCTTTGTAATCATATCCATAGCAACTAAATCCAAAATCCACAAACACAAACAAACAAAGTATGCTAAAAAACCATGTAAAGAAAGCCAATTGAAAGTTACTGGAATAAAAAATGAACCCAATTGAAAGTATGCCAATTGAAAGTTACTGGAAACGACAATTGAAGCAATGCGGTCAAAACAGAGACAGAACAAGAGTAAAATTCAGAACCCAAAACCGTTCATCATGAACGTAAAGAAGACTCTCGGCCAAGTGAACGCCAGACCAAACGACGGGCAAACACCCCGTACTCCAACAAGACTAGAAATCAAACAAAACCAATCAAAAAGAAGAATGAACCTGACGACGGAGACCCTGTAACCTGAATTGCGATCAATCGATCGATCTAGGACCGACGACCGGCCTATACTCCGCCGCTAGGGTTTTTATCGCTCCTCCTCTTCGTTGAATAGTTCACACATTGGTCTGGCTCACACGTTTTTTAAGTTTTTAAATTTCTAATATTTCAATTGATCGAGAAAAAGAGGTTGTCTCCCAGGCCACTTGTAGAGTTTTTTTTTTCATCCACTTCGTATTCTTCGGTGAGATGTGGCTATCAGGGACCGAGGGTGCATGCTGCTTCCACCAACGGTCCAAGCTAGGGCTGCACAAGAATAACCCTGATAGAGTATATGGGCCTGGACCCCATGGCCCACATACTCAATAGCCCAAAAGACACCAGCGGGGCACCCGCATCGTCCAGATGACCCGCGACGTCCAAAGAAGTAGTCATCGGGAATCGTCGCACCGCGGCCAGAGGGCCGCATCGTCCATGGTCCGCATCGTCCATGGGCCGCATCGTCCATGGGCCGCATCGTCCATGGACCGCATCGTCCATGGACCGCATCGTCCGAACTTCGCCGGGCAGAATGTACTTTTCTATTTTATGTACTAAGTGTTGTACTCAGCCCATTAGTGGCCTTATTTCGCCCAAAGAAGGCATAATTATTGTAATGGGCCTCCTAAGCCCAAGGCTAGGGGCCCAAATCCACATTTTTACCTATAAATAGACCCCAAGGGGCTAATTATGGGGGATTGGCAAGTTGAGAAATATAATTACTCACTCTCTCTCTAGCTCTCACTTCTCTCTAGAATTAATACTCTATCATTTGGTGCTCTCGTTGAGAGCCTAGAACAGATCAAGTGAGTACCCCTCGTCGCTACTAGACGCAACAGAATGACAAGAACTAGGTCAAAGAATACCGGTAGGAACGCCCCTCTG